CTCCTGACTGCAGGGCCGGTGCTCTATCCACTGTGCCACCTAGCTGCCCCAGTTATTTTGTTTTTTAAAAATTTTTTTATTTTATTTTTTTTTTCATGGAGAAAGAGAGTGTCTTTTTTATTTTTTTAAATTTAATTAATTTATTTTTAGTTTTCAACAATTACTTCCATAAGCTTTTGAGTTTTAAATTTTCTCCCCCTCCTTCCCCAAGATGGTGTGCAATCTGATATAGGCTCTACATATACGTCCCTATTAAACACATTTTCACATTAGTCTTGTTGTAAAGAAGAATTCGACCAATAGGAAGAACCACAAGAAAGAAGAAATAAAACAAAACAGAAGAAAAAAAGAGCAAATAGTATGCTTCAATCTGCATTCTAACTCCATAGTTCTTTCTCTGGATTTGGATAGCATTTTCCATCATGAGACTTTTGGAGATGTCTTAGATCCTTACATTGCTGAGAAGAGCTAAGTTTATCAAAGTTAGTCACCGCACAATATGGCTGTTAACGTATACAATGTTCTCCTGGTTCTGCTCACTTCACTCAGCATCAGTCTATAATAAGTCTTTCCAGGTTTTTCCTACAGTTATTTTAAATACAATTTCTTTTTCTATCTCTTCCTGCTGAACTTTATTGGTAATATATAGAAATGTTGGTGATTGATGTGGGTTTATTTTATATCGTGCAGCTTTGCTAAAGTTGTTAACTGCTTTGATTATTTTTTAGTTGATTCTCTAAGTATACCATCATATCATCTGCAAAGAATGATAATTTTGTTTCCTTATTGCCTATTCTAATTCCTTTGATTTATTCTTCTTCTTTCATTGCTATAGTTAGCATTTCTAGTACAATATTGAATAATGGTGGTGATAATGGGCATCTTTGCTTCACCCTTGCTCTTACTGGGAAGGCTTCTAGCTTATCCCCATTACAGGGGAATGAGCTGGTGTTTGATAGATACTACTTATCATTTTAAGAAAAGTTCTCTTTATTCCTATATTTTCTAGTGTTTTTTAATAGAAATGAATGTTGTATTTTGTCAAAAGCATTTTCTGCATCCATTGAAATAATCATATGATTTCTGTGGATTTTGTGCTGATAGTTTTCCCAATACTGAATCAGCCTTGCTTTCCTGGTATAAAACCCACCTGGTGATAGTGTGTGATCTTTGTGACATATTGGTGTAATCTCCTTGCTAGTATTTATTTAAAATTTTTGCATCAATATTCATCAGGGAAATTGGTCTATAGTTTTCTTTCTCTGTTTTTCTTCTTTCTGGCTTAGGTATCACTGCCATATTTGTTCCATTAAAATAATTTTATAAGACTTCCTTTTTGACTATTATGTCTAATAATTTATATAGTATTGGAATTAATTGTTTTTTTAAATATTTGGTAGAATTCACTTGTGAATCCATCTGGTCCTGGGAATTTTTTCCTAGGGAGCTCACTGATGGCTTGTTCTATTTCTTTTTCTAAGATTGGGTTATTCAAGTATTCAGCTTTCTCTTCGCTAATCTGGGCAATTTATGTTTTTGTAAGTCTTCATCCATTTCATTTATATTGTTAGATTTATTGGCATATAATTGGGCAAAATAACTCCTAATAATTGCTTTAATTTCATCTTGATTCTGGTGGTGCATTCACCTTTTTTATTTTTGATACTGGTAATTTAGCTTTCTTCTTTTTTTTTAAAAAAATAAATTAACCCATGGTTTATCTATTTTATTGGCTTTTTCATAAAACCAGTTCCAAAATGGTGAATCAGTTCACAACTCCACCAACAATGCATTAGTGTCTCAATTTTCCCACATCTTCTCCAACATTTATGATTTTCTTTTTCTGTCATATAAGTCAATCTGATAGGTGTGAGGTGGTACCTCAGGGTTGTTTTAATTGGCATTTCTCTAATCAGTAGTGATTTAGAGCATTTTTTCATATGACTATAGATAACTTTAATTTCTTCATCTGAAAACTGCCTGTTTGACCATTTATCAATTGGTAATGACTTGTATTCTTATAAATTTGACTTAGTTCTTTATATATTTGAGAAATAAGGCCTTTATCAGAGATACTTGCTGTAAAGATTGTTTCCCGATTTTCTGTTTTCCTTACAATTTTGGTTGCATTGGTTTTGTTTATGTAAAACCTTCTTAATTTAATGTAATAAAAATTATCCATGTTGCATTTCATAATGTCCTCTATCTCTTGTTTGGTCATAAATTATTCCCTTGTCCACAGATCTCACAGGTAAAATAATCCTAATTTGCTTATTGTATCACCCTTTATGTCTAAATTATGTACCCATTTTGACCTTATCTCGTAAACCTGGATTTAAAAAAAAATAAAATGTTGAAGTTATTGAATTATTGAATATATTGTTGTTATTATAGAGTTATTGAATATATTGTTTTCTTGGTTCTACTTGCATCACTCTACATGAGTTCACATGTCATCCCATGCTTCCCTGAATTTTTCATCTATTTCATTTCTTTGGTGCAGTAATATTCCCTTACATTTATGTAATACATTTTATTAGCTATTCCCCAATTGATGAGCATCTACTTTGCTGAAATTTCTTTGCTACACCAGAAATGCTGCTATGAATATTCTTATGCATGTGGAACTTTTCCTTCTGTCTTTGACCTACCTGTAATATGTAATTAGTTCCAGAATCTTTAGGTCAAGAGTATTGACATTTTAGTCTTTTTAAAAAAAATTTTTTTTAAAGCTCAATTCCAGTCTGCTTTCCAGAATGGCTAGACTGATTCATGGCTCCACTAACAGTGTATGTTTGCCTCTCCTTCCATAGCCCCTATTGGACTATTTCCATATTTTATCATTTTTCTCAGTTTCCTGATACTTTCTGATTTTAATATCTGATAACTAGTTTATATTTGATCTTTATCCATGTAAGGACTATTCAAATGCTTGATAACAGCCAAACAGCTTTAGGATTCAGTGTTTCCCAATTTTTTTCCTCTCCAAGTCCTTTCCAATCTCCCACGTAAATAAGTTTAGATGAGGCAAAGACCATGAAGCTAAGCCCAGAGAGCAAAGTCATTATCCTTCCTACCTAGCCAGATTCCTGGCCTTTCATAAATATGGAGATATAGTAAGAAAAAGCCTGAAAAACTTTTGAGTTCACCCTTACAATGCTTAATACATGGTTGTTGAAGTCAATTGAATTCTTCGAGTCATCTGACCAAAAGCTGCATGGAAATCCTAACAGCAGCAGGTCAAGTGTTCCCTACTGAGTCAGACTTCTGCATTACCTGAAGGGACACCCAAGAAAGGAAATCCAAATCTGGGTTCAGGCTGTCCCACTGTATCTAATGCTGAATGTGGTGAGGGACTCCAAGAGGAAATTCTGCTTTCAAGCCTTTCCTTGGGCTTGAAACCTCACTCTGACCTAGGGGCTTTACTGACTCTTCTAGCAACGGCTCGATTCTGTCCAATCTCTATGACAAGAAAACTTATTTCCTTTTCTTTTTCTTAAGACCATGGGTCTTGAGCTGGAAGGGAGCTCAGAGGTTATGTAGTCCGACCTGATTTTATAGATGAAAAGACGGAGGCTTAGGTAGGGTGGCTTGTCACCCACAGGTGGTGTCAGAAATAGGGTTTGAATCTGGGTCCTCTGACTTAGTATCTTTTACTTTCCACCCAAATAGCTGACTTTCCTTTTCACTTTTCTCTCTCTCTCTAAAGTTCTGCCTTGTGAATATAATGTCTTCCTTGAGTTACCCTATTCCATAGGACTGGAGGAAGAGAAGGATGGAGAGCTTCAAGACAGAATGGACTGGTTAGTAGACAATCTGACTCTTGCTCAACCTTGACATACCAGTGATCTTTTGCACCTGCCTTACTTTGGAACCCTACTTTGGCTGTACCTGCGGAGCTAACCCACTGAAGAGCTAGGTAGAACTGGCTGAAACCAGTCCTGTGGTTTGCAGATGCCCCCTCCCCAACTCATGATAAACAAGAACATCCTGCTTCAATGTTCTAGTGGTTCCCAGAAGGGGCTGACCCTTCTCCTCCCCCTATACCTTTAAGTTGAGTTGAAAACCCACAAATATATCAGGCTTTGCCTGCAGACCTAGACACTTTTGTACTCTGTATCAAGGGGTCTTCTCATGTATGTCTTTGCTTTCATTTTTAATAAACTAAGTTGACACTCAACCTGGTTATAGTCTCATCTGGACTTGAGAACTCTGGTCAGTGGTCTCCATTAACTTGCCATAGAGGTAGTATATGGAAAGCCTGCTGGATTAGGAGTCAGAAATCCCAGGTTCCCCTCTTGCCTCTGTTTCTTACTATCTGTGTGACTTTGAGAAAGTCTTTTCCTATGTCAGGAAAATAAGACCTGCCCTACCTACTCTGAAGGATCATTATTGTGAGGGCTGGATCACATAGTGATCACAATGACAACCCCTCAAAAGAACTAGGATACCTTTTTTTCACCATTACAAATCAATTCAACAATTAATCCTAGTCCATGAACATTTTGAAATATAACCATTTAACATAGACAAGCAGAAATCTACATCTTGACCCCTTTCAAGGGGTCAAGATGAACAGGTCGGGCTCCCAGCTCTAAATGTATGATATGTTGATACTGTGTCATAGGAAAGCACTTGAAAGAGAAGCATTTATTCACAAGTAGATTTGAAAGTGGAGAAATAACATTTGGACTTTCCCCCCTGGAGTGGAGACAGAGGAAATGAATGAGGGTTTTATTGGGGAGTGGGGGTGGAGGAGGGAGGAGTGGAGTGAAGGGTTGGGTGTTTGCCCAGGGGTTGCAAGTAGTCTGAATAGTATGCTAGGTACTGGCTACTTCTTCCTAAGGTGAGGAAGACCCTGAGAAAGGAAATCCAAATCTGGAGTCAGGTTGTCCTCTTGTGCTATGCCTAGGAGGGTGGAGCCAGTACTTTTAGAGCAGCCCCTCCTTCTGCTTGGAGACTCAACCTCTGTCAAGACTTTTGCCTGAGGAGCCCCACAGTTTCTTAAGGGAGCTTCCAATTCATCTGAGTGAAGTGGTTGCAATAACTTTCTCTCTTTCTTCATTTTTGGGTGTTCAAGGAAAGTAAAATATCTTTCATAATAAGCTTTTTAGGGGAAGTTGGGGCAAGAAAAGGAGAATGCAAGGACAGAGATGGCACACCCATTTAGCATCATTCATCTTGTACTGGATGGCAGGCTGCAACCCAGCTCTGGAGCAGGGATTAGAAGGTATGTATATATGTATATTTTTAAAGGGGAGCCTGGAAGGGGAGAAAAAGAAGGAGGCATAATCAAAAAGAGAGAAAAAGGAAGGAAAGTGAGGTCAGGAAAGACCACAGAATCATTTTGAGGTGACAGCCTGTCATCCAAGTGGAGATGCCTAGAGGCAGTTACTCCTACCCACATTCATGTATCCTCTTTCTGAACTCCTACAATTGTGATTTTTCTAACACTAGTGTCGCCCTGAGTCCTTTAGACATAAATCTGTGCAATATTGCTTTCTTTTTTAAGTATCTCCTAGGAGTTTGTATTGTCTCTCGAAAGAGATTATAAGCTTTGGGGGCAGCTAGGTGGTGCAGTGGATAGAGCACTAGCCCTGAACTCAGGAGGACCTGAGTTCAGATCCCGGCCTCAGGCCAAACACTTGAGACTCATGCAGACCCTGGGCAAGTCACTTAACCCCAATTGCCTTAAAAAAAAAGAGAGAGATTATGAGCTTCTTATGATGAGGCACTATGTTTTATTTTATTCAATATCCCCCTGCACATCCCACAGTGCCAGACAAGGTACCCAACTTAACTGTTAACCTAACTTGAAGACACCAGGCAAGGCAAAAATAGGTGTTAAATACTTGGTTTGTCCATTTATAGCAGACAGGACCAACCTTGGACAAAATTGCAAAGTTGTTAAAGCTTGTCATTAGTGTCTCCAGACTCAGTTGTCTTGAATCTCAGTTGTTCTCCTGTTTTTCATTGTGAGCCGCTTGGGGGCAATACCTTCATTTTGGTTGTATTTCTCTTGGGGATATTTTGTTTTATTTTATTGTACCTTTTTATGTAAGTTTTATTTTTCTTCTTCTTTCTTTTTAATGAACAAACGTTCATTTTATATCCTTCTCACCTCTCCATCCAATTAAAAGAAAGAAAAACAGAAGCCATGAGAATAGTCAAACAAGAGAAATGCCCACGTTGGCTGAGTCTGAAAACGTGTGTCTCATTCTGCATCTTGAATGGATCATCAGGTGGGTGGTATGCTTCCTCATCAGTCCTCTGGAAATATGCCAACCCCTTAATTTTACAAATGAGGAACCTGGCCAAAGAGGTGGAAGTGATTTGGTTAACTTTACTGGAAGAGGGACTAAATAGCAGAGATAGAGTTGCAGATTCCACCCGTTTAAGTCCTTCCACACTCAAGTCCCCTCCTCAGAGTCACATGACATTTTGTTCCCACCCCTTTTATCTGCTGGGTGCTCTGAGTCCACATTCACTCCCTCAGAAGCACTCTCCCAAGGGTGTCCAGGACATCCAGCAGAAACTAACACATCAAGGTAAACAAGAGGACTAATTGATCATATCTGGGGCTTCTCTTAAGGGAGAATGACTAAATGCAGTTAATTCTATTACTGTTCAGGTGAATCTCGTTTTGTGCAATGTGTTCCTGATACCCATCCTTGCTTCTGCTGTCTGTTCATGTCTTTTAAAAATCTAAAGTGGTTTCTAAGTTACCTACCCTTGTTTTGTTGTCTATTCATGGATTTTTAAAAATCTGAAGTGGTTTATAAATCTAAGGTGGACATTGACATGATCTTTTTAGGTCGTGTCCCACAGGGATTTACCATAAAGCTTTCTTTAGATATGACAGGATGGCTTGGTTGCTTTTGAGGGGTAGCTAGATTCTAAACCCTGAGACAAAGAGAGACTACCCATAGCTGTTGTATGGGAAAGGGTCTCAAGCAGAAATTAACAACCAGCCAATATTATACTATAGTCCTGAGGATATCTGCTTCAACCTTGGAAGTCTTCCCAATTTTGACTTTTACCTCTTCATATCTTTCACACCTTTTAGTTCATACTCAAAGGGGGAAACCTTATAGAGCAAAGATGGTTGTACAAGAATTCATACTCCTTGCACAATTTGCTTGATTCATCACGTATACCTGTTTCTGCTACTCTAAGCAGTTACCTATGATAGACTTTAACCTATAGATAGTAAACTGGTGTGTCCTCTTAGCATTTTTCTTTCCTCATTCCCTTAACCATCTCAGTCCCCTGGTTCCTTTAATACTTTAAATCCCCTTGTCTTCATTTGCTCAGTTTTCTCAGTCACTGTCTCCTAACTTCCTCTGTCTCTGCTGTTTTCCCCAACACCCTTTTCTTGCCTTCTTACACCTCATACCTCCTCCATACCATGTACTTTGTGACCCAGTGATACTAGTGTCCTTGCTGTTTAAACAAGACACTCATCTCCCAACTGCAGGCATTTTCTTTTTTTTTTTTTTTAAGTGAGGCAATTGGGGTTAAGTGACTTGCCCAGGGTCACACAGCTGTTATATGTCTGAGGCTAGATTTGAACTCAGGTCCTCCTGACTCCAGGACTGGTGCTCTATCCACTGCACCACCTAGCTGCCCCTGCAGGCGTTTTCACTGGCTATGCCTCATACCTGGAGTCTTCTCCCTCCTCATGTCTATCTCCTGCCCGCCTTGGGTGCCTTCAAGTCCCAGCTAATATTTCACCTTCTACAAGAAGCCTTTCCCAGTCCTTTTAATTCCTAGTTCCTTTCACCTTTAGGCAGGTAGGCGGTTTAGAGCATAGAGTGTTAGATGTGGAGTCATGGAGACCTAAGTTCATATCTGGCCTCAAGTAGCTGTGTGACCCTTGGCAAGTCACTTTACCTCTGTTTGCCTCAGATTTTTCATTTGTAAAACTGGGATAATAATAGTACCTACCTCCCAGGGTTGTTGTGAGGATAATATGAGAAATTTGTAAAGTGTTTTGCAAACTTTTAAGTGTTATATAAATGTTAGCTCTCTAGCTCTGTATGATTATCTTAAATTTATCCTGTATATGTCTTATTTGTACATTGTAATTTGCATGTTATCTCTCCCATTAGACTGTGAGTTTCTTGAGGGCAGGAACTGATTTTTTTTTTTTTTTTGCCTGTCTTTGGATCTCCAATGCTTAGCACAGTGCCTGACACATAGTATGGGTTTAATATATGCTTGTTGACTTGACTTGATGCTTCAGTGGCCCCAACTGGGAAAAAGTTTCTGTCCTCAAATTATGGGTTTTTCAACTCAATCTTTAGTTTTATGTGTTTTTTTTTTAGCTTGGAAAGAAGCTAACAAGATATGGAGAAAGAAGGAGAGAAAGAATCTATTTCACTCTCTCCAAGGGAGAACTATATGGACAACCAGGGACTAGATATGATGGTAATTCTCTTTCTTCTTATACAGAAATATGTGTGTTGGCCTCAATATCATGTCTAAACCATTGCTCTTCTCCTTGACTTACACAGACTTTGTGCATGTTTTTAGGGGGAAGAAACAGACATTCCAGAAAAAACAAGGGAGGAAGATATAGCAACCAGCTTGGGGAATGAATCAGAGCTTTCCGCTTTCCAAAGGTGCAGCATGAAATTTCATGGGGAGGAATGTAAAGTCCCACAAGAATTCAGAAAAACTACTATACATGTAGTTTTCACTGGCTCTCTCCCATATCTGGAACTCTCTCCCTCTTTATCCCCACCTTCCTTGGCTTCCTTCCCAACTAAAGTCCAACCTTCTGCAAGAAGCCTTTCCTGGTCCGCCTTAATTTTAGTGTTTTCCTTGTGAGACTATCCACAATTTATACTGCCTATAGTTTGTTCATACCTGGTTGTGTCTTATTTCCATTAGACTGGGAGTTCCTTGAGAACAGAGACTGTCTTTTGACTTTCTTTGTATTCCCAGCACTTAACACAGTGCCTGGCACGTAGTAAGTTCTAGTAGACAGACCGATTGACAAGTAAAGCGTAGAGAATAGGTTTGGTGAGACAAGTTTGTGCAAAACTGGGGATTCTGGGGTTTTAGTGGCCCACAAGTGCAATATGAGTACACAGTGTGATACATTGGCAATAGAGACTGTCCAGACAAAGGGAAATGGAAGCCACGTTTCCCTCTGTCCTGGTCAGACCACAACTAGTACTATTGAGCTCAGTTGTGGTCACTACATTTTAGAAAGAACATTGACTAAGTGGAATGAGTTCATAGGAAGATGATGAGAGGATAGTAAAGGGGGAACCAGGTGAACATCAATTTAGAGCTGGAAGGTACCTCAGGTACAGGAGGAGAGACCAAATCTGAACAATGACCATTCACCATTACTCCCTGAAACAAGTATTACTGTGTGGGAAGGCCAATCTAGAATCCACGTGCAGTCTCTTAGTAGGTGCCATTTTCCACAACTATCCCAGTATTTACTATTTTCATCTATACTCCTTCAAATTAAACCTTTATTCTTCCCAGAAGCCCACTTCTCCTATCTAGACTCTAAAATAACTTTCTGGGCTCCAATTTCCTGGATGGCCCCACAAATGTTAGATTATCTTCTCTCTCTCTTCTGTTTCTGTGTCTCTCATATCTGTCTTTCTTCTCTATTCCTTTTTCTTTCTCTAGCATTGCCTCTATCTCTGTCTCTTGTTTGTTTTTGTTTTTTGCTAGGCAATGGGGTTAAGTGACTTGCCCAGGGCCTCACAGCTAGTAAGTGTCAAGTGTCTGAGGCCACATTTGAACTCAAGTCCTCCTAACTCCAGGGCTAGTGCTCTATCCACTGCACTACCTAGCTGCCCCCTCTATCTCTGTCTCTTTCCTGTCCGTCCATCCATTAGATTGTGAGTTCCTTGAGAATAAGAACTGTCTTTTCCCTCTTTTTACATTCCCAGCATTTAGCACAGTGCCTGGCACGTAGTGGTGATGAATAAATATTTATTGACTGACCAACTATTTCTATCTCTCTGTGGAACCTTTGGTTTCATCCCTATTCAAAGGCAGCTTGTTGTAAGTGGAATGAGTATCTAAGTTAAAATGCCACCTCTGATGCTTCCCTATAGCTCCTTAGACATAGACTTAACCCAATGGGGTTAAGTGACTTGCCAGGTTCCCACAGCTAGTAAGTGTCAAGTGTCTGAGATCAGATTTGAACTTAGACCCTCCTGACTCCAGGGCTGGTGCTCTATCCACTGTGCCACCTAGCTGCTCCTTGTAAACACATTTCTGATGGACTATTCAAGGGGGTGTCTCTGGATGGAAGAAAGCCCAGAAGGGCTTCTTAGGAGAACTTCACCTTCCCCCACTTCAGAATGTGACTACTGTGCATTCAGTGACCTTAGGGGACAGCAATGAGTGAAAACCTTTTTTGAAAGAGGCAGAAAAAAACTATTCCGTTTCCTGAGGCATGAGGGGTAATCTGGGAGACCTCTGGGTTCAGGGTGGGATGGAGTTTGCTGGGATTTTGGGTCCAGAAAGGGTAGATTTGACATGACCAGGATCAGTTTTCTTCATGCCAAAGACCATCATCTGCTGAGTGCATCCATTGAACAAAGACAGGTTCTACCTAGAACCAAGGTGTTCCTCCTGGGTTGGGAGTCTAGGAGCTGATGAGAAGGAGCTGAGGTAATTCTAACTTCTTGCTATTTGGTCTTCAATAAGGGGAAGCCAGGAGCCTTTCTCCAAGGCACGACAGTTCTACAGAACTCATGCCCAGTTGTTCCAGAGAATCCTATGGGGCCTCCTGTGTACAGGTGAGACATTCTGAGTGCGGTTTTTCTTCAAATACTGAGAAGTGAGATATTAAATGACTGTGGGATTGGTGCTGCATCTTTATAAAACAGGTTGCTAGGTGGTACAGTGGATAGAGTGCTGGGCTTGGAGTCAAGAAGACCTGAGCTAAAATCCTTCCTCAGAAACTTACTAGCTGTGTGACCCTGGGCAAGTGAATTAACTGCTCTGTGTCTGCTTCTGCAGGGGATAATATCCCCTACAACACACAGGGTTGTGGTGAGGCTCAAATCAATTAAAATATGTAAAGTACTCTGAAATTTTTTTAAGGTTTACCAGAATGTCTTTAGTCACAGTTGAAAGCAGTTATATTGGAAAACCTTAGTTCTCCATAAATATATGGTCAAGTCACTTAATGCTATTTGCTTCAACTCCTTCTCTGTCAAATGAGCTGGAGAAGCAAGTGATAAGCCACTCCAGTATCCTTACCAAGAAAACCCCAAAAGGGGTCATGAAGAGTCAGACACAACTGAAATGACTGAACAACAATAACAACAACAACAAAATATGTGGAAACCATTTCCAAAGCCTAATTTTTTTACATGAGGAAAAGTGTACATTTTTTAATCATTAACTGAGTGGTTGCCATCCCTTTTAACATAACATTTCATCTCTCTACATATGCTTCTTACCTCCCACCCTGTCCCTGAACTTGATGAAATAAATCCCTACTTCTTTGGTTTACAGTAGATGATTGTGTTAAATTATAAATATCATCACCAAAGGTTAGTTATATAGACACATATTGTATTAGCAAATATACAGTTTCAAATTAGGTTCCTAGAACTTGGCGAAGTAGATATTTCTGTTTTTAAAACAAATTAATAAAAGCATATTTTGTTCAATGGGAGGAGACTAATTAGAAATTTGTCAGTGCTCCAGTATGAACTGGGCACTTGCTTTTTTTTTTTTTAACTCTTGAGAAAAAGCTTTTGAAAGTTGTATACATATTTCATTAAATTATGCGGCAATCTTGTTTTTTTTTTTAATTGTCCCAGAATGGTCATCTAATCAAGCCCGATATTTCAGGATAGTAGGAATGAGAATCACCAGCCAAAACTAAATGGCAACCAGAACCATTATGGCCTTCATTTTGCATCCATGCCACCACATTTATCTTCAAAACTTTTAAGCTCTGTTGCTAAAAGCTGTTGCATTGTCTTTTAAACTTTCTGATTAGTCTTGTAGCTCATCCAGTCTCTCTTCTCTTTCAATTACCTTTGTACTATTTCCTTGCATGACACCCATTACTTCCAACTGATTCTATACATGCCTAATTTTGTTATTCTGAGGTCCACATCTTGGTCCAGATGGACGCCTTAGGGAAAAAACAACAACAACAACAGTCTTCTTCTTCATCTGAATCTTCTTCCAAAAGATTTCTTCTTTCACTTTTCATGACATCATCATTATTTAGGTGGTATTTGAATTTAGGAGGCATCTTTATTACTCATAAAGTTGTTTTCCTTTTCCCAACTTTAACAAGTAGATATGTGCCCCTTAGTTCTCTAGGGAGGCCTCTGGCTGTCCCTCAGAGCCAGGGTGGAATGGGTCAGCCTAAGCTGGATTGGGGGAAGGGAAAGGAATGAAGGAGGAAGAAGAAGAAGGGGAGGAGAAAATGACCATGGGTGTGGACCCATCTTTAGTCACTCTGCTGCTCTTCCAGATCAGTAAGCATTCATCTCTTTGCAAATCTCTTTTTTCCCCAATGATATTTTATTTTTTCCCAGTTACATGTCAATACAATTTTTTAACATTCATTTAAAAAATTTTTGATTTCCAAATTTTCTCTCTCCCTCCTTTACCTCCTCCTTCTCTGAGACGATAAGCAGTTTGATATAGGTTATACGTGTTCAATAATGCAAAACACATTACCATACTGGTCATGTTGTGAAAGAAGACACAGACCCAAAGGAAAAAAAATCTATGAAATAAAAATACAGAAAGTGAAAAATAATATGCTTTGGTCTGCATTCAGATTCCATCAGTTATTTCTCTGGAGGTGGATAGTGTTTTTTATCATGAGTCCTTTGAAATTGTCTTGGATCACTGTATTGCTGAGAAGAGCTAAGTCATTCACAGTTGATCATCGTACAGTATCACTGTCACTGTGTACAATGTGCTCCTGGTTCTGCTCACTTCACTTGGCATCAGTTCGTATAAGTCTTTCCCAGCTTTTCTGAAACCAACCTGCTTGTCATTTCTTATAGTCAATAGTATTCTATTACAATCATATACGTATCACATACAATCATAACTTGTTCAGCCATTGATGGACATCCCCTCAATTTCTAATTCTTTGCCACTACAAAAAGCGCTGCCAGAAGTGTTTTTTGTACAAATAGGTTCTTTACCCTTTTTTTATTGTTGTTCAGTTGTTTTGGTCGTGTCTGATTCTTTCTGACTGCATTTGGGGTGTTTTTGGCAAAGATACTAGAGCGGTTTGCCATTTCCTTCTCCAGCTCATTTTACAGATGCGAAAACTGAGACAACAGGGTAAAATGACTTGCCCAGGGTCACACAGTAAGTGTCTGAGGTCAGAATTGAAATCAGATCTTTCTGACTCCAGATCTGGCACTCTATCTACTTTGCTACTTAGCTGCCCCTGCAAATTTCAAAATATTATATAAACACTAGATATTGTTATAATGACATTGGTGGGTGGAAGAGTTTTAATTTTTTGTTTTTTTGTTTTTACTACTTAGACCTAATAGGCTATGTTACAATCATACCTCATTTGCTTAAGGGAGAAAAATTTAAAAAGAAAAATCAAAGAATTACAGGCTTGCTCAAGGCAGGGTGGACTCAAAAGAAGAACTTATCTGGGCTTCAGTTTTTCATCTATAAAATAGTTAACCTCCAATGTTGAGAGGCAGTGTGTCATAGGGGATAGGCATTAGAGTTATGGTCAAAGCCCATCTCGGATACTTAGTAGTGATGTGACCCTGGGCAAGTCACTGAACCTTTCTGTGCCTCAGTTTCTTCATCTGTAAAGTGAGGAGGTCAGATTGAATGGTCTCTAAGGTCTTTTCCATCCCTAAAACTATGATCCTATGATCCTTCTAGTTTTAAATCTACCATCCTTAGACTCTGAATCTAGTATTTTTACCACTCCTAGACTATGCTGCTTCCTTAGTCCAACCTCTAAATTGGTAGTTAAGGAAACCGAAGTCCAGAAAACTCTGGTGAATTCCCCTAGGTGACATTGAACCTCACTCTCATTTGAATTGGTCAAAGGAGGGAAGAACACACATATACCCAGTTGGGTACAGAAATACATTTTACTCAGCAGAGAAATAAGAAGAAAGGAAAGCAGGAAAGGGGAAATAAGAGGCAGGGGAGATTACGGGAGAAATTAGTCCCAAGCAAACCAAACTCTAACTAAAGATGTACAAAAATATTTATAGCTCTTTTTGCAGTGGTAAAGAATTGGAAACTGAGGGAGTGTCCATCAATTGGGTAATAAATGATATATGAATATGATGGAGTACTATTGTGCTCTGAGACATGGTAAAGGGGATGGTTTTAGAGAGACCTGGGAAAATTTGTGTGAGGTAATGGAGAATGGAGTGAGCAGATTCAGATCAGTTTACAGAATGACAACAATATAGTGAAGACAAGCAACTTTGAAAGATTTAGGAACTTTGATCAGTGTAATGTTGAAACACAATTTCAGAGGATTCATGATGAAACATGCTACCTACCTCCTGAGAAATGAGACTTGGAGTGCAGAATGAGACATATGTGCATATACATATATATTTATATATTTTTTCTTTTAGACATGGTCAATGCAGAAATTTGTTTGGTGATGATACTTGTTTGTAACAAGTTTTTTTTTTAAATTCTCAATTGAGGGAAAGGATAAGGTAGGAGAGAGAAAGGGCAGATTTTTGCTGATTAAAAAAATAACATTTTGAGAAAAAAAAAGGAAAATGACTGATATCTGAGCAACTCAGCTTAGGCCAAATGCTGTATAATGCCAAGGGGCTAGGCTTGGGAGATTCATTGCAGGTCTTTCTTGCTCAAATCCTTAAAATTCATGGCAAATGTTCTATTTGCCTCCTTAGAAGTCCATTCCTTTGGCTGAACAAGTTGTGGTATATGAATGTAATGGAATGCTATTGTGCTATAAGAAATGATGAGCAGACCGACTTCAGAAAAACCTGGAAAGACTTGCATGGACTGATGCTGAGTGAAGTGAGCAGAACCAGGAGAACATTGTACACAGTAACAGCCACATTGTACGAAGACTAATATTGACAGACTTAGTCCTTCTCAGCAATGCAAGGATCTAAGACATCTCCAAAGGTCTCATGATGGAAAATGCTATCCACATCCAAAGAAAGAACTATGGAGTTTGAATGCAGATCGAAGCATATTATTTGCTATTTTGTTTTCTTCTGTTTTGTTTTGTTTTCTCTTTCTGGTGGTTTCTCCTCTTGGTTCTAATTCTTCCTTACAATGTCACTAATGTGAAAATATGTTTAATAGGAATGTATATGTATAGCCTACATCAAATTGTGCATCATCTTGGGGAGGGTGGTGGGGAGGAAGGGGGAGAAAAATTTTAAACTCAAAAGCTTATGAAAGTGATTGTTAATAAATCAAAATAAATTAATTTTTAAAAAATCAAAGACATATACAGAATAAAAATGAGGGGCTGGAACAAATGTATCAGGTGAATCCAAAAAGCAGTAGTAGAAATTATACTATCAGACAAACAAAAGATAAATATTCACAACATAAAAAGAAATAAGGAGACTACTTTATGGAGGAAGGCTTATGCCTCAAAGAGGTCATTGATAAAAAACAAAAAAACAAAAAAACAAAAATCCTCACATACACCTATACTTTTACAGCTGTGATAGCGAAGAATTGGAAACAAGGTACATGCCCATTTATTGAGAAATGACTGAACAAATGTGGTACATGAATATAATGGAATATTACTATGATGGATAAAGAGAAGCACAGAAAGATTTACATGAATTTATGTAGAGTGAAGCTAGCAGGGCCAAGAAAATAATATATACAATGTAAAAGCAAAGAACAACCAGAAAACAATCAGAAGTGAATGTTGCAAGATTATAAAGAACAAGAGCTACTCCAAAGAAGAGATTTGAGGAGACATCCCTTGCCTACCTTTTTGCAGAGGTGGGAGGTCCACAGGTGTGTTACATTGTATATATTTTCAAAATTTTTTTTTTTGCCACTGATCAGTTTTGCTGATTTTTTTCTCTTTTCCTGTTTCATGTAAAAGTATTACTTGTTATATGGGTTGGCTGGGGAGTGGTAAAAATACTGAAAAAAAATTTAGTGATGTAAAAAATAAACAAAAGACATGATTAAAATTTATTTTTACAAAAAAAAGTCAATTGCCTGACTTTTATCCTTTTCTCTTTCAATTCTCTTTAGCCTATTTTGCATATGTCCTGACGGCCTGTATCCTGAATTTCCAAAGAGCCCTGGCTTTGTTTGTCCTCACCTGTTTGGTCCTCTTCTTCTTGGCTTGCAGTCTCATTAGAAAGCATTTTGGAAAGAAACTGTTGAGATACGGGAAGCCCTTTGAAAATTCTCAGCTGTGGCTCTGGCTAAAATGGTGAGTTGGAAGAGCACTTCAATGACTTAGCACCACACAGTTTTGTTGTTTTTGAGATAGGTACCACCATTACTCCAAATTCTAGAATTCTTTTCTCGTCTCTCTTTGTTTTTCCTGTGTCTCTGTCTCTGTCTTTCTCTGTATCTCCTATGAGAGATTAATGCTGGACTCACTGGGGCCATTGGATTTAGCTCTGCCCCTTGCATCCATGTAGGTTAGCATGCCCAAAGGGTATTTCAGGGAAGGGAATCAATTGGCTCACCATTCAAATATATTGTGAAGCAGCCTTATTTACTGTTAATAGTTTCAGTTTGGATTGGTTTAGAAATGACACAGTCTCAGCTTTGATATATATGTATGTATATATATATATAGTATTTATTATTAAAATAATAATAAAGGTAAGTGATAGTATAAGTCTCAGTAAGTAAGCAATAATATTGTAAGTCTCAATAGTGAATCTCAAACAGTAAGTCTCAGTAGTTAACAATCAATAACAAGTTAAGTCTCAATCAGTATCAAATGTTACCACAATCGATTATCACCATCAGGGAAATCATCTACATCTGGATCACACAGCTGGGGAGTCTCAGAATCAGCCTCCAGAGTCCCAATGAGAAAATCCTGTGATATGTGTCCATACCATGGGGGAGACTCCAAAGACGGCTCAGGACTACCCACCTTTCATAATTCCTTCTAACAAAGAAGGCAGTTTGCCAAATAAATGTGTGATTGGTGGGAAAGGAGCTGTTCTCAAAACATCCTTGAGAATATTCCTATTTATTAATATTCAGTTTTTGGAGGGATGACCAGCCCTTCCTGGGACCAAATACTATAAACAGTCCTTCAGCATCTAGCTGGGAATAAGATTAATATGAAAAAGAGTCAGGGTCAAATTGCAGGCATACTGAGTGAGGTCAGAATGTCTTTTTCAATTCATTCATCACATTAGGTTCTACATTCTACCGAACTCATTTGTAAGAGGTGAATGCTTGGAGCTGAGAAACGACAAAGGAAGTTATACAATTGAAAATACATGGACCAAAACACAAAAATATAAGAATTAATATACCAATGGGGATTAAACCAATCAAATAAGATGTAATAGATGTCCACTAGGATTGTGTCAGGAATAATTGGGACCTGGTATCTCACATCTGTTGAACAATTTCTTAGAGATGGTGAATCCGAGTGTCAACCTGCCTAGAGTGATTTACATACACACCACATGAAGTATTTAGTACCATACATACCCCTCCTTCAGCAGCTAGTAGATAATCTAGGGCTATCCTATTATCCATGACTACATTGTCTAAAGAGTCTAATAATTCTTGGAGGTCTTGGAAGCCAAATGCTGTTTCATATACAAGGATAGGGGTGGTATAATGTCCACACAAGAAAATATATTCTTTAGGGGCACAAACTGAATGATGTCATTGGTGACTGTTATTCAGTATAGAGACTACATGTTGAGGCCAGAAGGTACTATAGTTACATTGTGATATTTAATAAGAGAGAAGGGATGTTCTTAACAGATGATTTAAAGTCTTCTATGAGGGAGGCAGTTTAGATGACTTTGGTATGTAAGAAACATTGTTATAACTTTCTCCTTGATACAAAACAGTAACATTGGGAAACCAATATGAGCAATTTTAGGTAGATACATAAAAATACTCATAGTACAATTATTACATACAACATGAGTAAAATTTTCTGGACAAACAGTGAGATTATCAAAAGTAACACACGTATAAGTAAAGGGACCTATCATTGCTTGCATATTTACACTTTTAAGTACAGGACCATAATGCTTACTGAGATTATATGTCCAGAAAGAAAACAGATATCCATTTTAGTATCCCATATGGGTTCCACTAGTAATGGCATGGTAGCATGCACAAAGCCGTAATACATGCAAGAAACAGTGTTATTGGTGCCTTGTGCAATAATTTTGGTGGTCTTTGGTCTATTACTAGGGTGTCATTTTACCCAGAGTTCATTAGGAATAAAATGTAACATGTGAGAGTATACTTATTTTAGATGACAAAACAAATAACAATTGAAAAATGATAAAACAATGAAGAATAATCATATATCATATAAAGGCTGAAGAGAGACATGATCCTAGGGCTGGAATCTGAGCACAAGCACCCATCATTTCCCCATCAAACAAATGGGACCCAAAATCTTTCAGGGTAAGGGATGAAGGTCTCGGCTCCTGAAACTGCTTCCTGCTGAGAATGGACGTATAGCTGTCCCTGCCTCTTGGGGTCCCGTTGAAGTGGTTGGTTCGTTAGCCAATGTACAGAACTTGGCTGATTTCAAGTCCAGAGGGTGATGGGTCATGGTCTCGGACAGAGGGTGATATTTAGCCTGAGAGGTCATTTGCAAGTGGAAGGCACTGAGCCTAGAGGAGACAAATCTGGCAAGGAGGTTAAGCAAATAAGGGCCAAAAAGGAGTAGGAGGACCGTGACCAGAAGCAGGGTAAATATGGACTGGTATCCTTCTGATAGGGCCATCTCAAATTTTATGAGCTATTAATTTTCAAATCAAGCTACTTAATTTTCCTTTCTGTCTCATAAGACAAGATAGCTTTATTACTCTTCACTAACATAACTGTATTGCTTTAAACAAAAGAGGTTCCTGACTTTAACTTCACAACTAAATAGATACACATCTTTATTTCACAAGCCTGTTTATCCTTCTCTAATTATATTCACTCTGGAAAAAAGAGATAAGTCAAAAATTGAATCTTTTACATATGATAAATTCAGACAGTAATTTTAACTCTTGTTTAAGTCATGGAATGACTACAAATTCAGATCAAAACAGCAAGATCTCACATACTTACATTGTGCTCGTATCTTTTACTGACCACTTGCTGTGATCATAGAAAGTTGCTATAAAAGGATAAAAAAACAGGGACATATGACATACCAAATATGACAGGATAAAACATCCTTAGCTCTGTTTGAATTAAGATAACAGTCAAAATTCTCCAACCATGCAGTATCAATTCCGTCTCATAGCCAGACTCAGGAATAGTCAGGTGGGGAACATTCCTTTTCAAAGGAACACAATGGGGAAACTGAGCCAGGAGGATCCCATCCTGGATTGAGGCTGAGATTATTCTCACGACTTTTTCCCAGATGCAGAACTCTACTTGTTAACAGTACAGGATCGCATTTCCTTTGAGTAACTTGTGGCAGTTCTCTAAGATACTGATTTAATGCAGACAACTATACCCAAATTCAAACTTAAAACAAAATTAGTTACAGTCCCAAGAGTCTTTTACCTCAAATAGCAAGTTTCACCAATCACCGCTTAGAGCCAGATACAGTTATTTTTACTCTCATGGAGTTGCAGTAGGCAATAAAAATTTACGAGGACTCACATGCATAAGGCATTCCATTCAACATCTTTCCTTCTCAAATTTAAACTTGTCCTGGTATAAAAGCCAATCATTGGAAATCCTTTCTATCTAGTGTACATAAACTTGCAGTTTCTCAGCAAGCCAAGTTCATTGTTTAGGAACTCCATAACCCAAACAAGCTCTTTTCCTGGGGCTGATGACCTTGCCCACGCAGATGGTTTCCAGGGTCCTTGGGAAGTTTACAAAATAAGGAGAATCAACGTGGACTCCAGGGAGGTGCTGATTCTGGTGCCCCTGCCCGCTGACCCCCATACCCCAAGGAGGTAAGCAAAAACAATCTGGATAAGGCTTCCACCTAATCCCCTCCTTTCCACACACAGTAATCAATGAACAATTTTAGGTTTTAGCATTAAAAACAGTAACTCCAAATAACTTAGTTAACAATCTTACAACTTTCATGAGTGATAGCCAAATTGTTTTAGCTGTAACCTCCTCTTTAACTACAGGCAGAGGTGGAAATATCTGGTTTTCTAAATGGCAGTTATAAAACATTATAAGACAAGGTTAGCAGGGTTGATAAAATAACATTAACTGGTTTTACACAATTTTTCCATCATCTTTTAGTTTCTTTCAGTTCATACATTAATAACATCTAAATTATGAAAAGTTGCTTAACATAACTGATACAAAAGTTTACAAATTTGAAACAATATTAGGCGTTTAAAACTTTAAACAAACATCTTTAAACAAACACAACTTTAAACAAATCAGGTGACTCCAATTCTGTTGAATATATTTCCAAATTACCTTACATACAAAATCGGGCATCTCATCACCATTGGCATTGTATACTGGTCACATCTAATTAATGGGGGCAGCTAGGTAGCACAGTGGATAGAGCACCAGCCCTGGAGTCAGGAGGACCTGAGTTCAAATCCAGCCTCAGACACATAACACTTACTAGCTGTGTGACCCTGGGCAAGTCACTTAACCCACTTGCCTAGACAAAAAAACAAAACAAAACAAAACAAAACAAAAAACCCTCAAATGCATGTGGGACAGCTAGGTGGCGCAGTGAATAGAGCACTGGCCCTGAAGTCAGGAGGACCTGAGTTCAAATCCAGCCTTAGACCAAACACTTGACATTTACTAGCTGTGTGACCCTGGGCAAGTCACTTAACCCCAATTGCCTAAAAATTAAAAAAAAACAACACATCTAATTAGGGAACTAATAATAATAGTTAACATTTAAAGCATCTGCCCTCGGCCAGGCATTGTGTTAGGCACCTTCTAATCATGTAAGGTAAACTGAGATAATGTGCTTAATGTTACCCAGTTAACAAATTTCAGATCCATGCATTTTCCCAATTTGCCTTAGTACCAAATAGTGTAATAAATTCTGACTCATCTTGAGCATCAAGTTAATAGTGACACATTTCACTTAAAATATGACTGGAATGAATTCAATTACCTTTTGGTTGTGTTCTGGTACACAAAAACTTTTCTCTTTTACATGATGCAGGAAAGATTAAGTGCTAGTCAATCTGCCTCTCTTTGATCTGAGAGAAAAAGGTTCCCCCTTTCTTTCTTTCTTGTCTCTTCCTCCACATTCAAACTTGGCCAGAGTTGGAATGGAGAGAGAATTTTTTTATTTATACTAAAAATTACAATTTTACAATTTATGGTTTATCAATTCACAATTTTTATAATTTTCCAAAAGTTTCCAAACCATTACTCTCAAACCCTCTGTTCACACAGTTTGTGCAAATAGATTATGCCTTTCTTTTTACTGATACTCCTCTCATTCCTGAATGCTTACACTTTCTTGCCTTTCCTTCTATCTACTTATCCCTCTGGTGGACTTTGATTAAAGCCCCTTTTAAAACTGCACATATCTTATTTCTTTCTAATTCTGATCTAACACTTCTCTTACCCTCCTCAACTTGCTTTTACCAAGCATATAACCTAAATAATAAAGTATTTTTCTCTCTCTTTTTCTCTCCCATCTACCCGCTTCTCTGAGGCTGCTGCAATCAGGGAGGGAAGGAGGGAGAGGAAGAGAGAGAAAGAGAAAGCAGCAAGAAAAGTCCAGTTGTGGCTATTGGAAGCTACTCTTGCTGGCTGGCTGCATTTTAAACTTACAGGTTATGAGATTACACATAGTCACTCACTCACACCACATGGAGACATAAAACACAGAACAAATACAGACAGGGTAATACAAAAAATGACAAGGAAAATCCAAAAGCTCAGAGAGGATTGTCAGAAATCCCCTGCATAATCCAACCATTTTGGAGAGCAATTTGGAACTCTGTCCAAACGGCTATAAAAATGTGCATGCCCTTTGACCCAGAATAGCACTTTTAGGGCTATATCCCAGAGAGATCATACAAATGGGAAAAGTACCTACATGTACAAAAATATTTATAGCAGCTCTTTTTGTGGTGGCAAAGAATTGGAAATTTAGAGAATGCCCATCCATTGGGGAATGGCTGAACAAGTTGTGGTATATGAAGGTAATGGAATACTATTGTGCTATAAGAAATGATGAACAGGCTGACTTCAGAAAAACCTGGAAAGACTTGTATGGTCTGAGTGAAATGAGCAGAACCGGGAGAACGTTGTACACAGTAACAGCCACGTTGTGCGATGACTAATATTGATAGACTTAACCCTTCTCAGCAGTACAGGTATCTAAGATATCTCCAAAGGCCTCATGATGGAAAATGCTATCTACATCCAAAGAAAGAACTATGGAGTTTGAATGCAGATCGAAGCATACTATTTGCTATTTTTGTTTTGTTTCCTCTTTCTGGTGGTTCCTCCTATTGGTTCTAGTTTTTACCTACAACATCACTATGTGAAAATATGTTTAATAGGAATATATATGTATAGCCTATGTCAGATTGCATGCCATCTTGGGAAGGAAGGTGGGGTGGAAGGGAGAGAAAAATTTAAAGCTTATGGAAGTGATTGTTGATAATTCAAAATAAATTAATTAAAAATTAAAAAAAAAAAGAAATTCCCTGCACAAATCAGACAGTTTTTTTGTGATCCACCAGGTTGTATAGAGGTTCGGCAAAATGTTCCTCTTTAAGGTCTTAGAAACCGAGCTTTTTCCAGTTCTGTAAAAGATAACTTATGGGCAGATCCCTGGGTGTACAAGGGGGGACATTTGCCCATCTCTTTCTCTGCTCGAGCTTTTTCCTCCACCCCTTTGCTGGTTTGTGCCTTTGCTGGTGCATGAGCTGATAGGCAGCCAGGAGAGGCCAGCCTCTCTGGCAGACAGTCAAATGATCTTTCCCTTTTTCAAAAGGGATACTTTCTAAACAGTGTGAAACATCCAGGGGTTCTGCTTTCCTCAATTTGCCTTCCCAATATTCGCTAGCCCACTCTCTAGCTAGGAATGCATAAGGCATATCTTCCCACCCTGGAATGTCAATGGGGCTGTTTTCTTTGAGAACAACGGCATTTCTAAACCCATCCTGTTCATGACTCCACAAATGTATTGTGAAGCAACCTTATTTACTGCAACTTAATTTAGTTTCGGTTTGGATTGGTTTAGAAATAACACAGAGTCTCAGGTTTGATACATATATACATATATATGTATATATCATATATATACACATATATAATTTATTATTAAAATAGTAATAAAGCTAAGTGATAGTATGTCTCAGTAAGTAAGCAATAATATTATGTCTCAATAATTAATATAGATCTCAATAAGTAAATCTCAAACAGTAAGTCTCAATAGTTAACATAGGTCTCAATCAATAACAACTTAAGTTTCAATCAGTATCAAATTTACCACAATCAATTATCACCATTGAGGGAATCATCTACATCTGAATCACATAGCTGGGGAGTCCCAGAATCAGCCTCCAGAGTTCCAACGTGAAAATCCCGGGCTGTGTGTCTGTACCACGGGGAGACTCCAAATATGACTGAGGACTACCCATCTTTAGTAATTCCCTCTAACAAAGAAGGCAGTTTCCCAAATAAATTTGTGTTTGGTGGGAAAGGAACTGTTCTCAAAACATCCCTGAGAGTATTCCTGTTCATGAATATTCAGTTCCTGGAGGGGTGGCCAGCCCTTTCTGGATGCAAATACTGTAAACAGTCCTTCAGCATCTAGCTAGGAATAAGATTAACATGGAAAAGAGTCAGGGTCAAATTGCAGGTATACTGAGTGAGGTCAGAATGTCTTTTTTAATTCATTCATCACAAATGTCCATATCAGGAACAAGAGAAATGATGATCCAATTCAATGAAATAATTGGATGATGAATAGACAAGCTTTGGATGGGCCATTACTGTCTTACTATGTTGATATTCTGTTCTAGAAATTACATACTTTCCCCATCTTCCCTGACTTCCTCATGTTCTTGCATCGTATCCCCAGCCTTCCTGGGTCTATTGGTAGTACTGACAGATCTGCCTTTTACAGTTTTAGAATTTCTAGCAGCAAGCTTATTGCTTAGTCAATGAGGAATGGGACATCATTTCCAACAGTATGTTTGTGGCCTTTTGCACAGGGTAATGTGCAAACTCTGAGATTCCTCCTGTTTTGGATATTCCTCCTGTTAGAGTTGTTCAATGGAAAGGCCAGGTATAAGGGGCCAGTGAGAATTTATATTAGCCTGAATCTACATAAGTCCCATCTTTGGGAGACAATGTGGTACAGTGGAAAGGGTGATGATTTGAAATCAGAGTATCTGGGTTTGAATATTGGCTCTGAAGATTACCACCTGTGTGATCCTGGGCAAGGCACTTACATTTCTCTTGACCTCAGTTTCCTCATCTGTAAAACGAACAAGTTAGCCTAGATGATAACAAAGATCCCTTCCACTTCTAAATCAATGATCCTTTCAACTGCACTCTGAGTCATTGAAGTAGGTGGTATTATAGCTTATACAGGCAAAGAGAGTATTTTTCCATTAGGTTAAATAAGATAATGTGCATCAAGGGATTTGGAAACCTGAAAGCATCATATGTCTCAGCTAGTATTATTATTATTTTAAAAATAATAACAATAATAATCATATAGCTTTCATTTATATTTGTGCTTTAAAGTTTGCCAAGTGTTTTTACATATGTTATTCCATTGGAATAAGAAGTATAGGAGAGGGACTGCCTTGGAGTCAGAAAGACTCAATTTTAGCCTGTCACATACTGGGCAAATCACCCTTTCGATGTCCAACACAGCTCTCTAAGATTCTAAATTACAGACAAGTTGACAAATTGCATTGGTAGAGATTTTCCTATACCAATGAAATCACCAGTCCTTTCAAAAAATTATTAGTAGTAATTGTGAGGAAGTTTATACATCTCTATACTGTGTTAAACCAATAAGGATTCTGGAAAAGGGTTTTATTCACTCATTGTATTGGGTTCCCATTGAGAATAATTCCCTGTTGAAGACTTCACTACCCTGCCTGTAACACCTTTTTATCCCTGAGCTATTCCAGTGAATAATATCTTCTCTTTCCTTCTCTTTCTAGGGGTCTAATTGCAGTTGCCTTGGTCGGCCTCATCCTGTGGCTGATCCTCGACACTGCTCAAAGGCCAAAGCAGCTCATTTCTTTTGCTGGAATCTGTATGTTCGTTATCATCCTCTTTGCCTGCTCCAAATACCACTTTGCAGTAAGTCTTGGGTTTATACATAAGGCTAAGAAAGCCACCCCAATGGTCTCCTCCTTAATCAATGAGAGGTCCATCAGGTGGCTACCATGGAACTGACGTGAACTCTGATTACTTGGCCATAGAACCATTGCTGAATCAAGAAATAAGTTGGTATCAGATGGGGAGTGGGGAGAATACTGGAGCATGAAGTCAGAAGGGAGATAAGAAATGCCAGGGATCCTTATGAAACCCAGTTTGGCTCCTCTTTGATTAGTAGGAGCCAGGCAAGGTTAAAGTATTTGGAAGTGGCTTAAGAATTTAGAAAATAAATCAGACAAGTCATATACATCGACAAGAAAAATCTATGTTTAAAAAACGTATATAGAATGAGCACAATCTTTCTGGCTAGATTCCTGAAGGACAGCAGATTTTCATACTGATTATCTGAAAGTACAATTTGAGTGTACTTGTAAAATATCAGAAGTGTACTTTTATTATGCAGACTTAGCAAAACTTTTTTTTAAAAAGTTGTCTTATAGTCTCTTAGAATACCTGGTTCTGATATGACCTCAATTCAAGCCAAGGGGTCCCAAAGGCTCTGGATAGGTGTCGTCTAACCATTAGCCATGATTTCTGAAATTATTCAGATGAGTGACCCCTGTGTTTCTCTGCATGGTATTAGTCTGCTGTAGATCCCTCAGGCCTGTGTCTAAAATCTCAGGTTGCCTCCAATAATAGGTCAGCTATGATATTTGGAATAATATACAGGTGTAATGGGCTACCTTAAAGGGTGGTGGGTTCCCGTTCCTTGGAGGTCTTCAAGTAGAGTCATTGGATGACCACTGTTGGGTATGTTGTAGTGTGAATTCCTTTTGTGTGTGACACTAGATGCCTACTGGGATCCCCTCCAACTCTCAAATTCTGTGATTCTTGGATAGGGACCTAGATGGGAAGAATAACATTTATATAGTGAAGGTTTAAAAAGAACTTTACATATGTTTTTAAAAATAATTATACTTGGGGAGGTGGAGCCAAGATGGCAGAGTAAAAGTAGTGACTTGCTTGAGCTCTCCCCAAAGCCCTCCAAATACCTATAAAAAAATGTTCTAAACAAATTCTAGAGCAGCAGAACCCACAAAAAGACAGAGTGAAACAGATTTCCAGCCCAAGACAACCTGGATGCTTGATTAGAAAGGTCTATCGTGCTGGGCTAGGAGAAAAACACAGTTCAGCATGGGTGCACAGACAAAGACCAGGTCTCAGTGAACCTGGGGCAGGCCTCAAGGGACTGAATCATAGGCAGCTGTGGCAGTTTCTAGACTTCTCAACCCACAAACACCAAAGAGAACTTAGAAAGTCAGTAGGAAAAGTCTGTGGCCACAGTGAGAGAGGACATTGGTCCCAGCCCCAGTCCCCAGCATAGCCGGAGGACGGCAGCTGCTTCCTGAGCTTCTGATCCACAGACTGAGGGGGAATTGAATGGCTGATCAGAGAGGGATTGCAGGGATCTCTTTGCTGGTGCTGAGGTAGGATTCTCTTGCTTTCACTGTGCTTGTATCTGGGTCACAGTTCTGGGTGGAGATCCTGGGGAGAGGAGGAGTACTGGTGTGGTGGAGCTTATAATGGTGGTGGAGAAGGCAATTCTAAGGCAGAAAAGAGTGCTTGTGGTCACTCATCAACAAGAGCACAGGCCAGGAAAGGAGTAAAACCTCGCCCTTGATCATACCACCTTGGAAGAACTGAAGACTTACAGGTCCCTAGAAGTGTCTGTGAAAACAGCTGCACAAAACCCCCAAAGCTTGGGACAGTACATTCTCCACACTGGAAGCAGACCCCTACCTTAACAAAGAGTTTAAAACTCAAGAAATTGGCTGGGATCATGAGCAAACGGTGCAAAAAAAAAAAAAAGTCAGACCACAGAATCTTTCTTTGATGACAAAGAAGATCAAAACATACAACCAGAAGAAGATAACAAAATCAAAGCTCCTATATCCAAAGCCTCCAAGAAAAATATGAATCAGTCCCAGGCCATGGAAGAGCTCAAAAAGGATTTTGAGAAGCAAGTAAGAGAAGTAGAGGAAAAATGGGAAGAGAAATGAGAGTGATACAAGAAAATCATGAAAGGGGCAGCTAGGTGGCACAGTGGATAGAACACTGGCCCTGAAGTCAGGAGGACCTGAGTTCAAATCTGGCCTCAGACCAAACACTTGACACATACTAGCTGTGTGACCTTGGGCAAGTCACTTAACCCCAATTGCCTCACTAAAAATTTTTTAAAAAAAAGAAAATCATGAAAAACAAGTCAATAACTTTCTAAAGGAGACCCCAAAAAATACTGAAGAAAATAACACCTTAAAAAATAGACTACCCCAAATGACAAAAGAGGTCCAAAAAGCCAATGAGGAGAATGCCTTAAAAATCAAAATTGAGGGGCAGGTAGGTGGTGCAGTAGGTAGAGTACTGGTCCTGGAGTCAGGAAGACTTGAGTTCAAAACCATCCTCAGACACCTGACACTTACTAGCTGTGTGACCCTGGGCAAGTCACTTAACCTCATTGCCTAGCAAGAAACAAAAAACAAAAAACAACAAACAAACAAAAAAAAGCAAAATTGGCCAAATGGAAAAGGAAGTCCAAAAGCTCACTGAAGAAAATACTTCCTTAAAAATTAGAATAGAGGGGCAGCTAGATGGTGCAGTGGATAGAGCACTGGCCCTGGATTCAGGGGGACCTGAGTTCAAATCTGGCCTCAGACACATAACACTTACTAGCTGTGTGACCCTGGGCAAGTCATTTAACCCCATTGCCTAACCAAAAACAAAAACAAAAACAAAAGAAAATTAGAATAGAGCAATTGGAAACTAATGACTTTATGAAAAATCAAGATGTTATAAAACAAAACTAAAAGAATGAAAAAATAGAAGATAATGTGAAATATCTCATTGAGAAAACAACTGACCTGGAAAACAGATCCAGGAGAGAGAATTTTAAAATTATTGGACTATCTGAAAACCATGATCAAAAAAGGAGCCTAGACATCATCTTTCAAGAAATTTTCAAGGAAAACTGCCCTGATATTCTAGAACCAGAGGGTAAAATAGAAATGGAAAGAATCCACTAATCACCTCCTGAAAGAGATCCCCAAAGGAAAACTCCTAGGAATATTGTAGCCAAATTCCAGAGTTCCCAGGTCAAAGAGAAAATGTTGCAAGCAGCCAGAAAAAAACAATTGAAGTATTGTGGAAACACAATCAGGATAAAACAGGATTTAGCAGCTTCTATGTTAAGAGACTGGAGGGCTTAGAATATGATATTCTGGAGGGCAAAGGAGATAGGATTACAGCCAAGAATCACCTACCCATCAAAACTGAGTATAATCCTTCAGGGGAAAAAAATGGACATTCAGTGAAATAGAGGACTTTCAAGCATTCTTGATGAAAAGACCAGAGCTAAATAGAAAATTTGACTTTCCACTACAAGACTCAGGTGAAACATGAAGAGGTAAACAGGAAAGAGAAATCATAAGGGACTTATTAAGGTTGAACTGTTTACATTCCTACATGGAAAGATGATATTTGTAACTCATGAGACCTTTGTCAGCATTAGGGTAGTTGGAGGGAAAAAAATTATATGTATAGATAGATAGATAGATAGATGGATAGATAGATAGATAGATAGATAGATAGATAGATAGATAGATAGAT